TACCTACCATAGAAATTTGATGTGAGGATTAAATAAAATAATACCAGTAAAATTCTTAGAATAGGGCCTGATTTAATAGAGGGGCTTAACAAAAAAAAAAAAAGATAATCAAAATGACTAGTAAACCACAGCCACTGTTAACATTTTGATGTGTTGGCTTTCAGGCCTTTTTCTGCCATATATGTATGTATACACACACATACACGTACCTATACATATTTACAGATTTATAAAATTGGGATCATATTTTATATGCTATTATATCCTGCTTAATTTTTCCCACATATCTTTATATTTCTTGTGACATTAAAATCAACTAAAAACACATTTTCATGACCCTTTAATATTGTAACATATGAGTTTATGTAATTGTTTAATCACTATTTCCTTGTGAGATAGCTAAGTTATTTCTTATATTTTACCATTTCAAGTATTGCTACTTTAAGGGTTGAGTTATTAAGTTAAAGAGTTTGAAAAATCTTAAAACTTTTTTTTCTTTTTGCACTTCTTTGAGGTTGAACATTTTCATATGTTTATTAATTACGGGCATTTATTCAATGAAATGCCTTTTAGGGAATGAATGCAACCTGCAAAACTTTTTAGGTAGCATCTCCAACCTTGGAATAGTGTGAGGTACATCATACTCCGTAAGTATTTGGCATGATGAATGAACAAATGGCAAGAATATTAACACTGTGTCTATCATATCTGTTTCACATAAGGTCAAGCTATAGAAAACTTTTAGCCTCTATATACATGTACAACAACAATGCTATCTTGGTTCCTAGTCTTTATACTTAATTTTTCTCCATTCTTTTCTTCCCCCACAGTTTACCCATGAGCTCGGATTTCCCACATTACAACTTCAGGATGCCTAATATTGGATTCCAGAATCTGCCTCTCAACATATATATTGTGGTTTTTGGCACTGCTATATTTGTCTTCATCCTTAGTTTACTCTTCTGTTGCTACTTGATTAGGTAACCAATTTTCATTCTCTGTTACTTCAGAATATGTGAAACAATCAATAATCAAGTTTCTACCCTCAGATTTTTTAAAAAATGTTATAAGTATG